TTTTCCCTCACCTTTTCATCTAAGGAGTAATAGAGCATATGATTGTCTGATTCAAAATGCCCCATGCCAGTCCATTTCATCTCCGCAATATCTAGTATGTCAATATTTATGCGTTCCATTTGTTCCGTAACAATATCTAATTTTCCTACATTCATGGTTCTCAAATTTGATGTCCCAATCACTAGTCTCTGCCACCCCCTACCTCGCAGGTAAACCAGAGCTGGAAACTTTTGGGAACACACAGAAAGTACAATGTGGGATAGGAATTTTCAGAAGGGAAGAGTGATCAAGCAGAAGGGGACCTCAGCCATCCCAATCCCACAGGTAAACCGGAGCTGGAATCTATTTGGAACAAGCGTTAAGTGCCGGATGGGATAGGAATTTTCAGAAGGGAAGAGTGGGCGAGCAGAAGAGGACCTCAGCCACCCCCACCCTGTAAGTAAACCTGAGCCAGAAACCGTTGGGGCCTTCAAGCCTGCAGCCCAGAGGCCAGGAAAGCAATCTATACAACAGATCTACTGGACACATTACCCACACTTGGGAAACATTTTCACTAAACTCAAGAGAGACTGGCCAAAACATGAGAAATTATCAGCAGCTAAAGGGTTTCTAACTACAGAAGCCCATAAGGATTGAGATATAAGCTATCAGATCAAGGTCGGGACAATGGAAGATAGGTGTTGAAGGGAGTGGGTGCGAGTAGATGGGGATGCTGCTGTATGGTGGAGCAGGGAAGTAAGCGTATGAAGACACTTGTGTCAAGGGCAGGGACAGTTGGGGAAAATCTCTTTCATCTGCTTTTTCTGTAAAATGCTGTTTGTCAGATACTTCTCTAAATCTAAGCATTCAGATTAAGACAGACTAGGAAGAAGAACTGGCCATCCACTTCCGAAATAGCTGGCCTCTTAAAATCCTATGCACAACAGAACACACGTAGACTAACAGGGCAACGGAAGCAGAGCTTTCATATATGGATATATAATGAAGAGGAAGAAATAAGAAGGAGAGAGAAAAATATTACCAGAAAAACAGATCTTAAGAGAGTTTGTAAAAATAAGACAAGCACTTCAGAAAACACTGAGAGACGTCCTTCTTAGAGAAGTGGCACAGAAAGTAGGATGGACCAAAGTAACCAGCAACAACACCAAAAAGAACTCAACAAAACAACAGCAATAAAACCTTGCTTCTCAATAATCACACTGAATGTGAATGGTTTAAATGCACAATTGAAGACAAAAAGAGTAGCCGATTGAATAAACATCAATATGTTGTCTACAAGAGACACACCTGAAAAATGAAGATAAAGAAAGACTAAAAATAAAAAGGTGGGAATAAATATACCAAGTAATTGGCAAACAAAAAAAAAGCAGGAATAACAATTTAATCTCTGATAAAATAAATTTCCATGCAAAACTATCACAAAGGACCAGAAAGGTCACTACATAATAATTAAAGGGTCAACAGAACAAACAGACATAACAATAATAAATATCTATGCACCAAATAAAAGGCCAGCAAAATATATACAACAAACATTAACAACATTGAAAAAGGAAATAGACAACACAACTATAGTAGCTGGAGACTTCAGTACAACAATTTCAAGAAACGAATGGATAGAGAAGCTGTGGTAGAGTCACACAATGGAATACTATGCTGCATTGAAAAACAAGGAACTCATGCAATATTATTCAAAATGGGTGACACTGGAGGACATTATGCTGAGTGAGGTATCTCAGTCACTAAAGGACAAATAATGCATGGTGCTACTGTTGTAAAACAGGACTGACCTTGCGGTTGGGGAGAGACTGAGAAAGATGGGTTCAATAATGTATACTGCATTGAAACTGACGAGGGAGAAAACAGTTTAAAAGGGATATGATTAGGTACTTTTGTCATGACAGGAGTCTAGAGCGAAGGCTACATGGTAGAGTGGACCTGGGGGAGGGTTTTTAAAACAATGAAAGAATTCATCTTTTATTTTTACAAGAGGGTAGTGTAGTAGGGGGGAGGAGGGTTGGCAGGGGAGAAAAGTACAACAGTGAATGAATGTAAATCCAAAGTCTAGGTAAATTTTTACCGAAATTAGTAATAAATAAAAAAAACCCAAACTTTACTACAAGAAACAAAAGGAGATCTGGAGAAATGGAAGAATATACCTTGCTCATGGATGGGAAGACTCAACATTGTGAAAATGACAATACTACCAAAGGCAATTTATACATTCAATGCAATCCCAATACAAATGCAAATACCAATTCCATTCTTCAATAAGATGGAAAAGGCAGTCTCGAATCTCATTTGGAATGGAAAGAGGCCCCAAAAACTATCTGCAGAAAACTCAAGCAAGATCCACACTTCACTCCATATACAAAAACCAACTCAAAGTGGATCATGGACTTAGGACAATACCAAGGACAATATATTTCATTAAAGAAAAGCTTGGAAGAACTCAGGAAGTCCTAATCCACAACATAAACAGTCTGCAAAGCATTCTGAAAAATCAACTAGCAGGAGAAAATAAAAGAGATGAATGGGATCTTCTAAGACTCAAATCCCTATGCACATCCAAAAACTTCTCCAACAGGGTAAAAAAGGAAGCCACAGACTAGGAAAAAAATATTTGGTAATGATATGTCAGGCAAGGAAGGGACTTACATTTAGAATTTATAAAATACTTGAGCACCACAAAAGATAAACAACCCAACTGAAAAATGGGCACAGGATATGAACAGACACTTCATCAAAGAAGACCTTCAGATGGAAAACAAACACATGAAGAAATGTTCAAAATTCCTAGCTCTAAGACAGATGCAAATCAAAACAACTATGAGCTATCATCTCACCCTAGAAAGAATAGCAAAATTTAACAAAACAGCAAACAAGAAATGCTGCCAAAGTTGTGGAGAAACAAACCCTTATTCACTGTTGGTGGGAGTGTAAAATGGTACAACCACTATGGAAGGTAATATGGCGCTCTCTACTACTGGGAATATACCCTAAAGAAACCAAAACTGCCACTCAAGCAGATATATGCTCACCCATGTTTATTGAAGCTTTGTTAACAAAGAGTTGGAGACAACTCAAGGCCCATCAACAAATGAATGGCTAGGAAAGCTGTGGGATATTCACACAATGGAATACTATGCTGCTGCATTGAGAAAGAAGGAACTCATGAAATATTATACAAAATGGGTGACCCTGGAGGACATTATGCTGAGTGAAACATCTCAGTCACAAAAATGACAAATACTATATGAGGAGAATTGTGGCATCAGGATTGGTGGAAGATCTATTAACAATCTCCGTTATGCAGATGACACAACCCTGCTTGCTGAAACTGAGGAGG